AGCGGGGGGGAGGCGGGGGGGGCGGAGGGTGCCCTCGTGCCGCCCCGCCGCGGCGGCGCTAGTCGAAGCCATGCCAGTCGCTCTGCTCCGAGTCGTACTCGAGCTCGGCGCCCACGCAGCGCACGCCGTCCAGCAGCATGGGGGTGCCGTGGTGCCGCTCTGCGGGCGAGCGCGCGCTGGGCACCGCTGCGGCCCCACGCTGCACGGGCTGCAGTGGGCACCGCGGGGTGGGGACAGTGTGGGGGTGCCAGCGGGACACAGGGACGGGACATGGGTCTGGCTCCAAATGGGACACCCCCTCAGGACACAGGTCAGGTCACAAATGGGACAGTGGGAGGGGACAGCGGGTCAGGACACACATGCAGGTGCAAAAGGGACATCAGGTAGGGACACGGGGTCAGGAGAGCTGTCCAGCTGCAAAGGGGACAGGGAGTGGGGACACGAGGTTGGGACATTGGCCCAAAACAGGATGCCAGCTCAGGACACGGTGCAGTGCAAACAGGGCGCTCCATGGGGACATGAGGCAGGTTGTAAAGGGGACGCCAGGAAGGGGCCCTGGGCAAGGAGCCGCTCCGCCTGCGCGGAGGCTGCGGGGACGTACCCATGACGCGGGCCTGGACGACCACCCTGACGCTGGCACCGTCACAGGTCTCGCTCACAAGCAGCATCTCCTCCCTGAGGACGCCCTCCCTGTGCGCCAGGTACTCGCACTGGACGCTGTAGCCTGCACAGGAGGGACAGGGACACTGCGGGGGGGGGACATGGGGACACCACAGCCCCCGCGCCAGCACCCGCTGCGCACGAGAACAGCCACAGCGGCCCCAAAAGCAGCACCGGGCACGAGCAGAGCCGGGGGCGGCCACCTCCTGCGGTTCCAAAGGGGAGGAAAAACAGCGCGATAAAGAGATAAAAGGGGAGGCGGAAAAATCCATGGCTGCGCTCGGAGCTGGGAGGGCAGCAGCGCACGTGGCTCAGCCGCCTGCGCCCACGTGCGGCCGGGAATTGCGATAGCGAGGGCAGCGCCGAAGGAAAAACACGGATCTGCAGCAGGAGGCGCCTGCCAGCGAGCACGGGAGGGAGGATGAGGAGGGCGAGGGCACCGCGACGCCTCCCCCCC